GTGGCTTGAAAAATGCCAGACACATCCACATTTGGGGCCAAAATCTGACATGAGAGAGAGAGAGATGGAGAAGAAGGGACTGTGGTGTGACTATACCCCATGGGAGGTGATTTCTTGCTTTCTCTCTCGCTCTCTCTGGTGACTTCACATGCCTTGTGGCAAAATTTTTTTAAACGATGTTTTCAAGGTTCATCCTTGTTTTAGCATGTGTCAATGCTTCATTCTGTTTTATGGCTAGATATCCTACTTTATGGAGAGAACACATTTTATTCATCCATTACAGCTGACTGTTAAGTGTGAGAGTTTGTTTCTGGACTGTCAATTATCTATTCAACATGTCTGTTCTTATGCTAGTACCATATACTGCCTTGATTATTACAGCTTTGTAGTAAGTTTTGAAATTAGAAAGTGCAGGTCCTCTGACTTGGTTCTTCACTTTCAAGATCATTTTAGCTTCTTGGTTGTCCTTACCCCAGGTGACAAGGCCCATGCCCAAACTGTCTTTTCCAAGATATCCATTATGGTAGCCTACAGCTCTATCCTCACCCTCTCCAACTTCATTTTGCAATATTCTCTCCCACACATCTCTACTCTGGCTACATGGACCTTTTTTACAGTTTCTCAAACATTCTAAAGTCCTTCCTGCCTGAGGGCCTTTGAACTCTTACTCTCTTTGCCAAGAATGCTTCTTCTCCACTCCTCTCCCTTTGTCTTTTGACTTCTTTTTGTCATTCAGGTCTCTGCTCAAATGTTGCCTTCTCAAAGAGACCCTCACCAACCCCAAATCTTTTTTTTTTTTTTTTAATTAAGAGGTTTCTGCTATAGGGCGCATGTGCTTACCAGAAAGACAGAGAGAGACAGAGAGATAGAAAGCGAGAAATCACCCCCCAGCGGGGATGACCACACCACAATCCCTTCTCCATTCTCCTCTCGGGATCTTGGGCACACACGCACATGCGCCCAGCGTGAGTTTAAGCCACCGTGTCCAGGACTCGAACCGCGATCGGCTACATGGGACTACAGCGACAATTGTCTGGGGTATATATATATTTTTTTCTGTCACTCTTACTGTCATGGAAATTACAGAGAGCAAAGATCTTGTATTATTTAACAATGGATTTCTGGGACCAGCAGATGGCGTGATGGCTATGTCGCTGGACTCCCATGTAGTCGACCGCGGTTACACTGAAATGTAAACTCCATAAAGTCAGAAATCTTATCTCAGGGCCAGCAGGTGGCACAGAGGTTAGGTTGGCTGGAGCCTGCATGGCTGACTGGATGGTTCAAGTCCTGGACCTGGTGGCTTGAAAAATCACACTGGACATGTGTGTGTGCATGCCCAAAATCCCAAGAGGAGAAGGGAGGAGAAGAGATTGAGGTGTGGCCATCTCTCCTACAGGGTATTTTCTCTCTCTGTCTGTCTCTCTTACCATCTCTCATAAGCACACACACCCTGTAGCAAATTAAAATTAAACAATTCTGGCAATAGGCTAGTTGTAGGAGATATACCAAAAATATAAGAACACAGAAAGACTAAAGATATAAATAAATAATTTAGGAAAATTCTGAGCACAAGAAAACTAATTTGATATTTTTAGTAGACAAAATAACTTAAAAACAAATAGACCCTGTATGTCTCAATATGTTGCCTAGGAGTGGCCTTGAACTTGTGATCTTCCCCGCTCGACCTCCTAAAGAGCTGGGATTACAGGCACCCAACACTGTGTCTGGCTTAAAATAATTTTTAAGCTGAAAGAATTACTGGTCACTACAAAATTAGATCATTATAAAATAGTAAAAGTGTGCCACAGCTTTTAAAATACATAAAAGCCAAAATTTAGGGACCAGGAGCTGGCGTAATTGTTATATTGTTGGACTCCCGTGTAGTTGACCGTGGTTTTAGTCCTGGACCCAATGGCTTAAACTCACGCCGGGCGCATGTGCGTGTGTGCTCAAGATCCAGAGAGGAGAATGGAGGAGAAGGGATTGTGGCGTGACCATCCCCCCTGGGGGGTGATTTCTCGCTTTCTGTCTCTCTGTCTCTCTCTGCCTCTCTGGCAAGTGCATGTGCCCTATAGCAAAAATCTCTCAAAAAAAAAAAATAAAAGCCAAATAGAATAAATTTTCAAGAAAATATTAACAAATTTATTATTACAGTAGGTATATTAACAAACTTCTTCAGTATTATTGACAGTTCAAATAGACCCAAACAAGGGACCAGCAGTTAGCGTAATGGCTATGTCGCTGGACTCCCATGTAGTCGACCGCAGTTCAAGTCCTGGACCTGGTGGCTTAAAACTCATGCCGGGTGCATGTGCGTGCGTGCCCAAGATCCCGAGAGGAGAATGGAGGAGAAGGGATTGTGGCGTGACCATCCCCCCTGGGGGGTGATTTCTCGCTTTCTGTCTCTCTGTCTCTCTGTCTGGTGAGCGCACATGCCCTATAGCAAAAATCTCTCAAAAAAAAAAAAATAGATCCAAACAAGTCATATAATATATAGAACACTTTTGAATAGCACAATTGATAGGCTGACCTAAAAGAAATAAAAAAAATTCCTCCTGACAATTAGAGACTAAACAGTCTTTTTTGGGGGGAGGGAGAGGTTTTTGCTATAGGGCGTGTGCGCTCGCCAGACAGACAGAGACAGACAGAAAGACAGAAAGCAAGAAATCACCCCCCAGGGGGGATGGCCACACCACATTCCCTTCTCCTCCGTTCTTCTCTTGGGATCTTGGGCACGCACGCACACGCGCCCAGTGTGACTTTTAAGTCACCGGGTCTAGGATGCAAACCGCGCTCGACTACATGGGAGTCCAGCGACATAGCCATTACTCTAACTGCTGGTCCCTAAATATTGAAACATTGACAAAAATTGACCAGGGACCAGCAGGTGGCGTGGTGGTTAAGGTGCTGGACACTCCCACATGGCCGATCACGGTTTGAGTCCCGGACCTGGTGGCTTCTTTCTCACTTTCCCTCTCTCTCTTTCCTCCTCTGTGTCTCTCTCTGATCAAATTAAAATAAATGAGTGAATAAATAAAATAAAACAAGTAATTATAAAAAAAAAAATTGACCACATGGTAGGCCACAAAATTAGCCTCACAAATGTCTAAATGCAATGAAGTTAGAAATCAGTTACAAAATATAATTAATTATAGTTACATCACTGGACTCCCATGTAGTTGGCCACAGTATAAGTTCCGGACCAGGTGACTTAAAACTCATGCCGGGCACGTGTGTGTGCGTGCCCAGAATCCTAAGAGAAGACTGCAGGAGAAGGGATTACAGCATGGCCATCCCCCCTGGTGATTTCTCACTTTCTGTCTCTCTGGTGAGTGCACATGTCCTATAGCAAAAACCTTTCTTTAAAAAAAAAAAAAATTGCTTTTGGTCCAGCCATAGCATTGTGGTTAAGATGGCTGGATTCCACACAGCTGAGAACGCTGTTCAAGTCCTAGACCTGATGGCTTGAAAAACACACCACATGCATATGTGTGCATGGCCAAATTCCCAAAAGGAGAATAGAGAAGGGATTACAGCATGGCCACGCCCTCTAAGGGCTGATTTCTCACTTTCCCTCTGTCTCTATATCTCTGGTAAGCTCACATGTCCTCTTGTAAAATAAAAATTTAACTAATAATTTAAAAAAAGAGAACTTGAAATTAAAGAATTTGAATCCACTTAAACTTTCCACAAAGCAAACACCAATCCTCATTGGCTTTGCAAGTGAATTCTTTGAGTAAATAGGAAAATGGATAATTGTGATAGTCATACAATGGAGGGCTACATTGCAATGAAGACAAACTACAACAACATGCATCAACAGGATTGAGTCTCAAAACACTGTTGAGTGGGGGACCAGCAGTTAGCATAATGGCTGTATCACTGGACTCCCATGTAGTCGACTGCAGTTTGAGTCCCAGACCCAGTGGATTAAACTCAGGCCAGATGCATGTCCGTGGGTGCCCAAGATCCTGAGAGGAGAAAGGAGGAGAAAGGATTGTGGCATGGCCATCCACCCAGGTGTGAGTGGGGGTGATTTCTCACTTTCTGTCTCTCTGTCTCTCTCTGTCTTTCTGGTGAGCACACATACCCTATAGCAAAAAGAAAAAAAGACTCTCAAAAAAAAAAAAAAGAAACCACTGTTGAGTGGGAAAAGCAAGAAAAACCTCATACACTATGATTCCTTTTATATGACATTCAAAATAGGCAAAAATAAATTATTACGATATCTGCATTAAAATCATAAAGAAAGGTGTTTACCTGGAAGGGGCATGTGATCTGGGAAGGACATATAAAGGAATTTATCTTTTGCTTTACTTTTTTCCTTTTTTTTGGCCAGAGAGACGAGGGAAAGAAAGCATCCCCCAGTGGGGTACAGTCACACCACAATCCCTTCTCCATCTCTAAATCTTTTCAGGATTTGGGGCATACATGCACATGAGTTCAGCATGTTTTTCAGACTGCCAAGATTGGAATCCTAACCCTGGTCATCCATGTGGGATCCACTAGGCCACAAGGCCAACCCAACATCTTTTTTAAGTTTATTTATTAACCACTAGGCTACAGGGCCAGACCAACTTTCTTTCTTTCTTTCTTTTTTTTCCTTTTTTAGTTAATTTATTTAATTTCTTTCACAAGTGGGGACACACTCTTGACAAGGTGAATTATCATACCTCAACCCCCACTGGCCTTCTAGCCAGCCAAGATCACCAGATTCTGAACCCATTTTCCATGTGGCATCAGCATTAAAGAGCAGCACACTACTGCCTGTGCCACCATGGATGGGCCAGAAGACATTTTATATAGTACTCTTGTATATATGGCATTTTTTAAATTTATTTATAAGAGTGTTCATTTTTTTGCAGATGACAAAAAAAGCAAGGTGAAAATATATACTCATATACTGACATGGGAGACTGTCCAATGTATAATAAATGACAAACACATTACAGAACTCTATAGTTAATCCTATTTTAATAAAAATATGAATGTGTCCATTGAAATAAATCTGAATAATATACTGTACACTATATTTCTGAGATGGTTTCCATTTCAAAATTATTTTTTTCCATGGTGTTTCAATATTTACTAGTAATCTCCTTTGCTTTTATGGTAAAATAAAAAACAATAATAAAGATTTTTTTGTATGTATAAAAGCTATTTCAAATAGAAGAGTATTTATTGTGGAGAAGGACATTTTTCTCTCCTCCACAAGTAGAAAAGAGTTCCCTGACAGTTCCTAGAGTCTATAAAAGAGAATTTGTGAGGACAGAACATTAAAAATGGAAAGAGATTCTGAGCATAGCCCCCTATAATGGGTAGAGAGTGAATGAGGAAGGCTCACTAGCCTTTCCTAGGCACACAACAAACCTCCTTGCTCCCTGCCACTCTGGTCACAGCTCAGGAGGTAAGCTCTTGGCCAGCTGCCCTTCAGTTCTGCCCCATTGTTCCAGGTCCCCAGCTGACTGAGCATGTGGAAGTTAAGCCAAAGGGCAAAGCTGTCCTGACTTCTTTAGTACACACCTGTGAACTGAGAGACAACATGGTGAGGCCTGTGCTTAGGGACACAATAAGACAAAGAACAGAGCCAATGGAATAACCACTAATAAGGAAAGCCTAGGAGATCTTGTTCTGAGCCAGCCAATAAACTTTTTCCCGCTAGCACCCCAAATTTTCCACTGCAAGCAATTGGGGGGGGGGCTCTTGGAATTGGAGAGGCATGCAAAGGAGGGTGTTCTGTGGCCCAAAAGAGAGATCAGCTTATCAAGGCAAACAATTCCAGGCTTTGGTACATGCTGTGGGCTCTGTCTAGGATACTTCCCCTCCACCTTGTCTTGGCTATCTTCTGTTCATTCTTTGGATTTCAGATTATGGACCACTTCCTCTTAAAAACCTCCCCAACTCCTACCATCCCACCTTTACTACTCTCCAAGAAGGGGTTAGAGGCCTCAGTCCTCTGATGACCTGTGCTTCCCTTGCCCAGCATTCTCCTACTTTTAACAGCTGCCTGTTTATTTGACTCTTCCATTGGGATTAAGGTGTCCTGAGGGCAGGGACTAGGAGTTTTACCACTGTATCTTTAGTATCTAGATAGTCCATTAGATACATGTTTGACATATTTCAGAAAATGTTTGATATATGGGTGAATACAATGAATGGCAGAGAGGGCACGTGATATAGAATGTCTCGGCTCATTTGGAGTGTGGTTCTCAGTAGCCTAGGGAAGGAGCCTACAGGGCAAGGGAAAGATACACTGGGCTTTATGCTCCCTTCCTGTCTTCCACCTTTCTATTGCTTTGTCATTGCATCCCTTCCCCAAAACACATCACCTTTGGTGTGATTTTGAGCTCCCCCTACTGGACAGACCCTGGAACTGCAGGGAACAAAGCCCAAATACCTCTTTCTGTCTTCCCCCTAGAGAGATGTTTCTACCCAGCCCACACCCTACACCCCTACATGCACACGCTCTAGGGTTCATGAGGGACTGGGGTAGGTAGAGAAAACAGGGCTGGTCAGCATACTAGAGGTTTCCAAAGTCAGAGAGATTGTGTCTCCATCCTTAAAGCCAGGAGCATTTTCTTCAAATCCTCACCTCATGCTCCATTTCCTGGGGTCTCCGCTCCTAGGCTCCTACTCCAGCTAATTCACAGAGATGTTGATTTCTGGAGCCTTTGGCTGATACATCAGCTCTGACTGGAAGAGAGATTCCAAGATGGGTTGGGAATAGACAAAGGAGGAGAGATAAGCATAGAGGAAGGGGCCCCAATATATAAACCCGTAGTAAGACAAACCATAGGACTGGGTTGAGAAAGACAGAAGACAGCCCACTAGAGCTCTGACCCTCACCCTTCCCACCCCTATGGGCTCATAAACCAGGGCCCTTGCAGTATAAAGAAAGACTTCCCTCACTCCTTCAGTCTGCTTATGCCAATACAGAGTTAAGGGAAACCACTGGGTCGACCAGCTCTTCAGGCTTAATGGAGACATTAGGTTTTAGTATCAGCTCCTGGACAAGACTGCTCTCCCAACCCCTGCCCCATTGCACTGAGAGAACCCAGCTTGGAGCTCACATCTTCACTGTCACTTCCACTGAATGAGTGCTCTGGTTCCAGCCCTTTATCAAGGATGCTCCTCTCTTCCTCTGGCATCAGCTCATCAAGCCAAAGGAGTTCCTGTGATGAGAAGACCCACTCCAGTGCCTTTCGGACTCCTACGAGGCCCAGTAACTGCAGGAATAGAAACAGTCAAGAGTTGTCAGCTGCAGTGGCAGAACCATTAACAATAGTAGCATTTACTGAACACTTCCTGTGTGCTCGATATTGTGTATTGTTTCAGTGAATGCCAGTGCATTCCTATGAGGTAGAAACAATAATTATTTCCATTGTACAAAGAAGGAAACTGAGGCCCTGAGAGATTAATAACTTCCCAGAGATCTCTCAGTTGGAATGTGGTAACCAGATTAGTCCTGCCACAAAGCCCATGGCTCTTAACTTCCTCAGTAAGTTAAGGACACAGAAGCCACCTGTGTTATCACCTCACAGCCTAACAATACTATCAGTATAGCCTCTCCCAGGACCTCAGTTTTCATCTAAGTTTTATGTTCCTACCTGTGGTTATTAGCCCACAAAGATGTTGGGAACGGAGGTGAATCAGGCATTCCAGGGCTAGCCCATCTATAGGTATCCCTCCACCATCTTCCTTTGGCTTAGGATTCCCAACAAGGCAGGGCAAGGGCAAATAAGAGAGGGGAGATTCTTCCTCTTGTGAAGAGCTTAGCCACTCTCCCAGGCTCAGAATCCCAAAGCACTCCCCTCCACATCCCCCAAACACTGCCCAACCCTGCCCCAAGTCACCATGAGGGGGAAGATGATAGCTGCAGGGGTAGACTTGATTATCCAAAGCAGACCCAGGCAGGCGAGCTGGATGGCTGTGAAGAGGTGGACCCTGCTCAGAGGCACATGCCGCAAAAGCAGCAGGTCTGGCTGGTGTTTTGTTGGCATCAATAGTAGCTGCACTCTCTTTATAAACTGGGGGAGGAAGAGGAAGAGGCAGGGCACTCAAGTCCCTGTAGAGTGTCACTGTTAGCTATCCCAGCCCAGCGGGGGCGGGGAGGCGCAGAAGGCTCCTACAGCCTCTCCCCATCCAGAGCACGGCAGCACAATTCCTGTGCCCAGGAAGAGAGGATAAGAGGGCGATTGACGTGTAGGTAGGAGGTACCAGCAGCAAAGAAAAGAGGGGTTGCTGGGTGATTGTAATGGGCTCACCTGGATACTGCTAAGTGCTGCCACCCCCATGTACAGGAAGATGCCATAGAGCACAGGCATCGGGATGAACTGGTAGAAAGAAGCGGAGAGCTAGCAAAGGAGTTTACCTCTGCCAGCCACCCAGATGTCTCACCTTAGTCTCAGACCCCAGCCTCTAGAATGTAACATCCAAACCTGCCCAGGCCTTTAGTTTCCTTTTATTCTTTGTATGCCTGATCTCATTAAATCTTCACACCAACCAGATGAGATAATGCCATTATTGCCTCCATATTACAGATAGGGGAATTGAATTTCGGAGAAACTAAGTTTCTTGCCCATTTCCTGGCCTGACACTCCAATTCAGTCTATCACTGTCTCCTCTGTTCTTTATGTTCTGATTACCCAGGTCTCCTTTCCTTCCCTCAACATGGCCAACTTTGTTCCTACCCCTTGCAAAGGCTTTTGCTTTGCTATTCTCTCCACCTAAAATGCTTTTCCACTACTTAGTTTCTTTCTCTTTTTTTTTGGAGAGATTTTTTGCTACAGGGCGCATACACTTGCCAGAAAGACAGAGAGAGACAGTGAGACAGAAAGCAAGAAATCACCCCCCAGGGTTGATGGCCATGCAGCAATCCCTTCTCCTCCATTCTCCTCTCGGGTGGGATCTTGGGCATGCATGCTCACGCGCCCGGCGTGAGTTTAAGCCCCCCGAGTCCGGGCCTCGAACTCCAGTCAACTACATGGGAGTCCAGTGGCATAGCCATTATGCTAACTGCTGGTCCCTTGGAGAGGATTTTTTGCTATAGAGCACGTGCACTTGCCAGAAAGACAGAGAGAGACAGAGAAAAGAAAGCCAGAAATCATCCCCCAGGGGGGAAGGCCATGCTGCAATCCTTTCTCCTTCATTCTCCTCTCAGGATCTTGGGCATGCACACACTTGTGCCTGGCGTGAGTTTAAGCCACTGGGTCTGGGACTCGAACCGTGGTCTACTACATGGGAGTCCAGCAACATAGCCATTACACCAACTGCTGGTCCCCCCCTACTTTCATGTGGCCAATTCATTATCACTACCAATGCTTCATCTCATGACACCCCAGAAAGGCCTTCACTGACTACCCAATCTAATGCAGCCCCTGCTGCTCTTTATCACCATATCTTGTTTAATTTTTTATAGATAGTATCACTATTTGAAGTTATCCTTTCTTATTTTAATTTTTAAAAACCCTCTCCTGGGTCCAGCAGGTGCCGTGGTGGTTAAGGCACTGGACACTCCCACATGGCTGACCATGATTCAAGTCCTGGACCTGGTGGCTTGCTTTCTTACTTTCTCTCTGTTTCTCTGTGTCTCTCTGGTAAAATTAAAATAAATGAATGAATAAATACAATTATAAATAAAAAACCTCTCCTCTCACTGCGGGGATGGAGACATGATCTCTTTTGATCACCACTAAATTCCCAGTACCTGAAGCAGTGCTTCGCATGTGGCTTCTGCTCAGTAAGTAGATGCTGGATGACAGTCACCTAGTTAGTGAGTGGCCAATCCAGTCCATCTGGCTCTTTCTACTACTGCACTCTCACCCAGCCTCTATGACCTTTCCCTCCCCTAACCTCTTGTCATCCTGCCAGTGACTCGCATCTGACACTCTCCACACCCTCCTTGACTGCATTGCTGTCTAAGCTTGCCAAACCCTTCTGCTATTACTTGCTATTTAATTTTTGTTTGTGTGTGTGTGTGTGTGTGTGTGTGTGTGTGTGTGTGTGTGTGTTGCTGATAGGGGCTTGGTGCCATATTACTCTGTATTACTCCCCTGTATCCACTTTTCTCAGGTGCCTAGCGATGTCCTGCATATAGCAGATGTCCTATAAATCTGTGATGATGGAGAAGGAAAGGTTTTTTAACTCCCAAGTTTTTCTGGGATGCGATGATCATACTCTTAGTCTCAGAATTGTTTATAAACTGGAGCAAAGGTAGTGCTTGGACCCAAGTGGATGGCAGTGGCAGGCTGACACCTTGCTCCACTGAGTAGAAAACCTCCTGGATAGGAACTTGGGTTCTCACATCGGAGAAACTGGCTCTGTCGGTGGGCTCTTGCAAGTTACTTTATCTCTTTAGCCTTCGGGTTCCTCATTTGTAAAGTACATATTCCTCTCAAGGTTAATGTGAGGAGAAAACACAGTGTATGGAATACAGTGTTCATCCACTTTCAGTTCTGGCTATACTTACTGTTATTACTGCACTGCCCCTTACCCCAGCTGTCTGACAATGGTACCTTGAGAACAGGTGCCAGAAAGATGGAGACTCCAGTAAGGATGAACACCATCAGCCCCGTCAGCCTCTGCTCTCTGTGGGAAGAGGGAGGAGTTAGCTGGAGTCTAAGAGGGCCCCGGGGTGCCCGGGCTGGAGGTCCTTGCCACACACCAGTACAAACTCTGGCAGCAGGTGGGAACTAGAGGGATCCCCAATATGGCAGAGATGGGCCTTTATGTGGTGTAAAAAATTGGTGCAGGAGATGGGGAAGAGTGCTTTGGCATGAGAGTGCCAAACCTCTCCTATAAGTTCAAGTTCGCAGTTGCATTTTGTTTTCATTTTATATTTCAATGGAAAATTAACACTTTTGACACTGCCATAAATCAATTTACAAAGTTGATTTCATGTACTTTAGACAGTTAGATTGTTTCCAACAGTCACAAAATTATTTTTGTAATGGATTCCTTTGTAACACCCATGATGTTTCTACATTGAAAGAGGGTGATTAAGTGGCACCTCACCCTCTGCTTCAGCCCTGGCTGCCTCCACCCTTGCATCTGTGATGTTCCTCCTGTGGTCCTTCCCACTCCCCATGGCTGAAGGAGGAGAGGGGAGGATCTGACTCATCCATCTCAGAGCTCAGAACCCACCCATTCACCCCACCACAGTGTCATGGGATACAAGCTTAGTATCTAAGCTGCTCAAATACCCCACCTTACTGTCCACCTCTCACTCCAACCTCCTGAACACTGGCCTCACCTGATACCCAGGAAACTGGGGGGCTCCCCAGGGGAACAGGCTCTGCTCTCTTTCCGAAGACTGTCCATGTGGGCCAGAGAGATGACAGTGGCTGAGACATACCAGGGCAGCCCAAGGACTGAAGTGAGCAGCATCAGCACAGCCACACAGAAGAGGTCCAGGTGGAAGCCAGCTCCTTTCTGCAGGTAGTGGCAGGGCAATGCGGATGAGCTAGACATGCCTGGGTCCTCCGTCCTTGACCCCACCCTTGGTCTACAGCCTTAGCCAAAAGGCCTTACCCGCAATTTGTATTCTGGACGGTTGAGGATGACTGCAGTGATCTGCTGGTCCATGAAGATAAGGATAGACAGCAGCAGGGCAGGCAGGGCAGCCACCACACTCAACCACCAGGGATTGGCTCCAAAAGGTGACACCAGCCAGCCACGCCCAGGAAGTGTGGGCTGAGGAAAGGCATTCCATGGACAGATCAGAGAGGGTCTCCCAAGAGGATCTAACCTGCACATCCCAGCCTTGGCATTCTTTTACAATCCACTCTGCCCCACAAGACACTGGATGCTATGGGACCATTATGTATTTGTGTGCACACAGTGGTTCAGAGTGTCCCAATGCTTTAAAAGAAGGCAGAGTAGGGGAATCAGCCTGGGAATTAGACTGCAGCCAAGGACTTTGGACTTTGGTTCTCAAGATCCTTCACTCCTGGAAGAGAAGGAGGTGGTGGATGAGGCCTGCCCACACTTCTGAGTATATAAAGCCCTGGGCACCTCCACCATCCAGGGTGGGGCAACTCAGGCTCAGACCTGCCTTGATCTTGGGCAGGGGTAGAGGCAGGGCTGGGTGTGTCTGCGTCTGCTCTGATTACAAGCATCTGTGAGGGGGAAGGGCCCCAATTGCTACCTGGGGTTCTGAACCCCTGAGATTGCACCAGTAGAGTCTCCCCTTTTCCCAATCTTGAGGGAAGCTGGATGAGAGGTCTTCAAATGCACAAGTGAAGTCTAGGAGCCAGTGCTAAGCCTTGTCCTGCACATTGTCATGCCTTAGAGAGGGGGCTCCAGCTTTATAAGATCAGAATAGGCCATGAAGGGTGCAAAGAAGAGAGAGGAGTGAGTGGGGTCATGCCAAGGGTAAGGAGAACTTATAACAATAGCTAACATTTACTGGGTACGTGCCAGGACTGGGTATGCACCAGGCACTGTGATAAATGCTTTACACTATGATCTGTAAACCCCAAAACAACCTGTGGGGGTGGAACTGTTGTTATTTACTATTTCCATTTTACAGGTAAAGAATATGCAGTTATAGGCTTAGAAAAGTACATTAACTTACCTAACAGCCAGGAAGGGGCAGAACTGGAACTCAGCCCAGGGCTGGCTGACCAGAACCTACCCCCTTAACCTCTACCCTGTAATAATAGCTTCTGTGTACTCTATGCTCATGTTCTGCTGCACTACCTCATTTAATCCTCATGACAACTCTGAGGCCATTATTATTGCTATTTCTGTTTTTATAAGGGAAGAAGGAAGCTTAGAGGAGTACAAGTGTGGGATTTATGCATCTTCTTCCTCCCTCCGTTCCCCTCTGCCATTCACCCACTCAAGGCTCCAACTCTCACCTTGAACTCTCTGGGTACCGTGAGCTTCGGCGTGGGTAGGCCCAGGTAGGCATCAAGAGCACAGCCCAGGAGGATGGCCAGGACTGAGGAGAAGTCACTGAGCACCTTGCGTACCTGGCCACACAGTGGACACTCAGTCAGATTCAGGCCTGCTAGCCCCCCTTCCACACCCTTTCCCATTAGCACACATGAGCCAAAGCCAAGACCTAGGCCTCTTTCTTTCACAAAAAGAAAGATGACACTCACCACAGAAGGGAAAAAGCGGCTAGTCCTTACATGCTTGAGGGCCATGGCAAAGAGGAAGGAGGTAAAGAAGAGGAGGAGGGAGAAGAAGGCAATGTCCGGGACCGTATGACAGCCAGGGCCACGAGGGTAGCCTCCCCGCTGGACGCACTCAGGTGGGGGCAGCAAGGATGCATTGACCAAGCCGAGGTCCTATATGGAGTGGTGGTAAGGAATAAGGTTACAGGCAGTAAACCTCCCACTCTCCTAAACCACCTCACAGGAAAGGGGACACACAGAGACACCAAGGGCACTGGATGGAAGGTCTCCAGCCACAGGAAATGGCTATACCTTGCTCATAGGGTGGGAAGAGCCAAGAACCACTGATTGCTTTGGCCTCCATCCTCTCCCAGGCCCTCCCAAGAACAGATCCTCACCATGCTGAAGATGTCATCTCTATCATTTTGCCTTGTCCTCGTCCATTGGGACTCATTTCCTAGGAAGCAGAAAAGAATTTGGGTATATGCCCCCTCCCCTGGAAACTTCTCCAGCCTAATCTGAAGGGCCCAGCTGAACCAGAGAGTTCTTAGTTCTGACTCAGCTGTCTGCTAACTCCATCCTTACCCGAGTGCGCCCTCCTCTGGACACTGCCTCCTGCCCTCATCTTCTCAAGTTCTCTATCCGTGTCCCTGGTATCAAGCTCGGGACAAGCTGGTCATAGCAGATCATGCAACCCCACCCCTCTGGGCTCAGGAAATGTTGACTGATTGAGCAGATGAGCACACAAATCTGTGTTTTCACCAGGGCCACAACAGACCTTGTTCATTCCTGGCACAGAGTCTGTCATATATTAAAGAGGACACTTCCCCACTCCTAGTGTGACCTGCCATGTAAAGGGGCATATGCAAGTGTAATACTCCACACGTCTCTCCACCTGGTCAGGTTCACCCAGGGGAAGAGCAGTGGTTTATTTGATTGATGAGTTTGGGAGATGAAGTTGGGCCTCTTCTTGGTACATGTATTAAGCTCTGCTCCTCTAGGGCAAGACAGTGTCTGTCCATTGCTGCCATGACTGGGTGGGTGAGACTATCTAGTTTTGGCTTCTTTGTTAGGAAGCCCATTCACCCACAGATAAAAGCCATGTTCTTTTATTAGTGTTGTCAGAAATAAAGATGATACTGGTCTTCTGTTGTCTTATTTCTCAGTGGATTCAAAATCTGAGTGGGTGGGGCCAGCAGGTGCTGGACTCCCACATGGCCAACTGCAGTTCAAGTCCTAGACCTGGCAGATTGCTTTTTCACTTTCTCTCTCTTGCTCTCTCTCTCTCTCTCAACGGTCAAATTAAAAGATAATAAATAAAATAAACAATTCCTTAAAAACAAAAAACAGTGGGGAAGAGTGTTGCTGGGTAAAAGTACTCAACATTTTGCTGAAGTTAACCAGGGGACAATAGGGCTACAACCCCTCTTCCTCCCACCTCACCTGGCCGAGGTTCCTATTTCCTTCACCCACCTCCTGGACCTGGGTATTGGCAGAGGCAGCCATAGGCAGGGGACCCATGCTTCTGGATAGGATAGTCATGAGTCAAATTCAGCATTTTGCCCACAGCATCATAGATGAAGATGAGGCTGATGAGGGCACAGAAACCTTCCTCAGTGAAGCGGGTGAAGTAGCGTACCAGCACGCTGGCTTCTGTGGCCACCAACACCAGGCAAAAGGTGGCCACCCAGATGCCCACCCACAGACGGAAGGGCAGGTAGTCCAGGCTGTTATCTCTGTGCAGGTTAGAGACAGGTAATGTAGGGTTTGCAGGACTGTCTGATCCCCACCTAACCCGTCTCAGGTGCCTCTGAGCCAGAGACTGCTCTCCCCCAACTCTCCTATTGATCCAGCTAGGACCAAGCTGAGAATGTGGCTACTAAGAGTCTGGTGAGGTAGGGGAGTTCTGCTACCTGCTGAAAGAGAAGAGCAGACGCTCGAAGACCAGCACTGGCCCAGTGCTGCTGAGGATGGTGAGTGGCTGGGCGG